TCCCGCTGGGACACCGACTCCAGCCCACCTCTCCCCACGCCCTTGTTTCCACCAGCCTGGGGGCGCGTTGCCGCCTTCTGGCCAGCCCCTGCGGAAGGGGTCCAAGACCCACCGAGCCGTCCCACCAACATGGGACCATGTGCCCTGGCAGCCGCAGCGCCAGGGGAGGTTTTAGGCTCGGGATTTAGGCAAGGGGCTCCCCAGGGGAGGGTCCCCGAGGGCTCAGCTCCATCCAGCAGCACCGGGCACCCGAGCCCTCCCCGGGACCAGGTGCTGAGCCTGACCCGTGTGTCCGTCCATCCGGACAGGACGTGGACAACATCTACCACAGCCAGGACTGCCGGGAGTTCAACCTGCTGGACTTCAGCCACCTGGAGAGCCGGTGAGTCCCCTGGCCGTGCCGCGTGCGGTGCCTCGTGCCATGCCAGCACTCGTCCCCATCCTCCCCGCCCACGGTAGGGGTGGCCCAACACGCTCCTCCGCTCGTGTTAGAAGCTTTTATCGCTTTACTCGCTCCAAAGACGCCACATCTGCGGGCTGACGCTCCCCCGCACCGAACACAATGAGCCCCGTCCCATGGGGCGACAGCCCCGAGGGGCCGGGCAGCCTCCCCTGTTCATTTTTAACACTCAATCAGGCCTGCGAGCTGCTTACGGGGGTGAAAACGGAACGTTGCAGCGGCTTCTGGCAGCTCCTGGCTGTCAGGTGTTTCCCTATGCAAAGCAGCCGGCTCTGCTCCCCCTCGCATATATAAATATATATATGTATAACAAATAGCTGTTACGGGGTTATAACCTTACAGCGGGGCCATGAGCTCTGGCTGTGCCCAGAATCATCCCCGTGGGGCTCAGCCACGTCTCCATCCCGAGAAAGATGGAGCGAGGGTTCAGCTGAAACTTGTTTCCACTCCAGCAAAACCCGTGTCATTCTTTACGTGAGAGCTCAGGATTAAAAAAAAAAAAAACCAAGCCAGTGTTTGACAGAAGCGTGCAAATATTTTGATTAATGTTATTTTCCCTGAGGGAATAACCTGGGGAAGCTGAGTTTTGTTTGTGGGTTGCTTTAAATTCATGGATCCCAGTCCGGCTCCATTGAATGGTGTGTTGGGGCACCCCAGGGTTGGGTGTCTTGGGGCACCCATTTGGGACCAGGCTCGGCTCAGCCTGGCCCCCGACTCCCTCGTCCTTCTCACCCTGCAGAGACATGGCACTGAGCGTCGCCGCCTTGTCCTTCAACCTGTGGTTCACCAAGCTCTCCTGCAAGGACTTCAGGCTGGTGAGTGCTGACGCCGCGGCGCTGGGCGCGCCGGAGGTGGCTGGGTTTCCAAAAAGGTTTTCTCCCCTGCCAGAACCAGGAGATTTCGGAGCAGCTGCTCTACATGCTCAGCAAATCGGTGATGCTGGAGGAGCTGGTGCTGGAAAACAGCGGGTTGAAAGCGTAAGCAAAGGCGTTGCGGGGCCCTGGCGTGGTGATGAGCAGGGTCTCGGCAGCCCGGTGGTGATCCCTTCACGTGCATGAGAGCAGGGGGGTCCGTGGACCCGTGCGCCAGGGGGGTGTTGGTGCCCCATCCCCTCCGCAGCATAAAGCTCACTGTTAGTAGCCTGGAGGCCAGTGGGCATCACCCACCCTTGCAGAGGCTCTGCTTTCGGATGGAGCTGGCTCTGCCGTGTGGGTAGGTGCTGGTGGCATGTCCTTGTAAGGCTCCGGCCATGTCTCCTGGAGGTGGCCGTAGTTTGCTCAGATGGGTGGCCCTTCTCCCCCGCAGTGACTTTGTGCAGAGGATGGCCCAGGCGCTCAGCAACCATCCCGACTCTGTCCTGCACACCATCAACCTTGCTGGCAACCAGCTGGAAGACAGAGGTACCCAACTTCTGGGCCGGGATGAGTTTCCACCCGTGAAAACCGATGTTCAACTCTGGATCCCGCTGGCAGCTGTCCCCCGCCCCGGGGGGGCTGTAGCTCGGGGTGGGGCAAACACCCGCCTGCGCTGGCACGGCCGCTCAGGGCTCTCTGCTCTTTCATCAGGGATCGTTGCCTTCAGCCGGCACGTGGAGAAGAGTCCCAAGGGTCTGCAGAGCCTCAGCTTGGCTAGGACGATGCTCACTGCCAAAGGTACAGCCCAGCATCCCGCTCCCTGCCTGGGCGCCATTGGGAGGCTGGGCACAGAGGCGCTTGGGGACAAGCTGGCACCAAAGGGGTGGCCGGAGGGGCTGCAGGGACACCCTGGAAAGGGCATCATCAAGGATGCGACGTCCTGCTGCCCCAGCTGTAGGAAAGTGCCTCTTCCTCGGCTCCATGGCTCTCCCTGGTGCAGGGGCCCCACGGGCATCCATCTCTCCCCCTCTCCTCAAGCAGGGATGAGCACGTTATGCAAGGCCCTCGCAGATAACAAAGCCATCGGATCCTCCCTCCGGCACTTGGACCTCTCCGGAAACCCCGGCACCCTCGCTGGGGACGACAGCAGCGTGAGTGCCTGGGCTGTGACAGGGTGACGCCACCTGGGCTTGGTCCCCATCGTAGTTTGGATGGCTTTGGTCTCCTGGGGTCTGTGCCCTGCCTTGCAGCACCCCAGAGACTGGGAAGTCACGGCTGCGACACCTCCCTGCCTACCCAGGGGGCGGTTGGGGGATGCGCTGGGGACATCCCCATGCATCTCCTCGTGGGAGGGTGGGAGATGCCACCTGGAGCAAGGAGGCATCCCGGGAGCGAGCGGCACAGGGCTGGGTCCCTCTGCAGGATTCATCCCTGTGCTCAGCAGGAGGATTTCTGGGCTGTGCAGGGTGCTGGGGGCGGGGGGGGGTCAGGGTCCTGGGCAAAGCCGCTGAGCCCTCTCTGCTCGCAGAATCTGCAGAGCCTCCTGCGCCGGTGCCACTCGCTCTCCCACCTCAGCCTGGCCGGCACGGACTGCCCTTTGGACGCTGTGAGTACCCACGCAGGGGGTCCTGGCAGCGAGCCCTTGCCCTCGGTCCCCCTCCCGAAACCGTGCCGTGCTGCGGGGGGGTGCTGCCACCCCATCCAGGCTGGCACGGGGCTGCGGAGACAGGGCACGCGTGGGGCAGTGGGCAGCCAGCCCAGCGATGCCCTGCTCTGCGCCCGCTGCCGCA